AGAGAGAGAGAGAGAGAGAGAGAGAGAGAGAGAGAGAGAGAGAGAGAATCATCAATCAATTCATCATTTTGAAAACTCACTGTATAAATAAGGACATGAATGGCCATTCCACAGTATGATTGAGGAGAAAAATTTATTAATGAAGGAGAGTACATTCCAGGGCAGGGAAAGAAAGTATCGGACTAAGTATGACCAGTAGAATGGACAGGGCCTTGAGAGGAGAGAGGAAGACAAAAGTGAGAACCAAGAGAGAGCATGGCCAGACTGACATGGTTCTGTAGGACTCAGAAGGCAGAGGAAGAGAAGTTTAGGGAAGAGTCCAGCATGAGAGGAGCTGAGAAGTGTAAGCATGGACTCTGTAGCAGATATTTGTGATGCTGAGAGAGGGCACCAAGAAATGACAGCCACAGCAGCTGGGAGAGACACGGGAGGATTCTACCCAGGACTTCAAAGGGACCGCAGTGCCATTGGCATCTCCATTGTAAACTTCCAGCTTCTGTAACTGAAAAATAATTCTCTCTCTCTCTCTCTCTCTCTCTCTCTCTCTCTCTCTCTCTCTCTCTCTGTGTGTGTGTGTGTGTGTGTGTGTGTGTGTGTGTGTGTGTCCCTGGACTCCCAGAAAGGTGGGAGGACAGAAACAACTTCTGACCTGGAAAGTCACACTGTGTTATATGTGGTTGTGCACACATACATATCACACACACACACACACACACACACACACACACACACACAGGAGCCAGCATGCATCTTGGTAGGCTATAGGCACCACAGTTCACACTTTTTCCTGAGTGTCTTTTGAGCTCGACATTCACAACATCCAATAGAAATCAACCAGGGAAGACTTTTGAAGACAGGATTTTCCAGTCAAGCGTCCTGGGCAGAGTATTGTACCCTTGATGAGGTTTCCAAGTCAAAAAGTATAAGTCAAGAAGGTGCAGACATCCTCAGTTGGTTTGAAGGAGGACCATCCGTTTCTCAGAGCGAGGCTTAGCCATCCCCTCTCTTACATCACCTCATCCTCTAGCGCACACCAAATTGCAATTTATTATAGATTTGCTTTATTAATAAGTTAGAAGCAGCTGAGAGGTCAAAAACACAAGCTCGCTACATGGTAAACGGTCAAGTTTAACTGGATGTATGTTAAAAAGGAAGACAATTTGCTGTGTAATAAAGAGTAAGAGCACAAACGAGAGACCGCTTGACACAGCGAGATGTATGTTGCTCTCCAATAGAGCTCAAGGGTAGCAGTCTTGGCTGGTAGACTTGTGCCTTCACCTCTCCATCTCTCCTCTCTAAAGACAATGTCCTCTAAAGACAATGCCTTCTCCCTGTTCTGGTCGTCCTCCAACCAGCAAATGACAGAAAAAAACACAAAGGTCCCAAGCCTGACTCTGTACAACCGACAGTCCTGAAGGGGTCTTGTCAATGCCTGTTGGTCACACCCCACCAGCCAGATCAGGTTCTAAGGCTCACATTGCTACAAAGGAGTTCAAGATATACAATCATTTCTCAAAGGAAGCTGTGCATCCCAGTAAGACTGTTCACAGCTTACTTTTCCCATTATCATGGCAAAACACCTGATGAGAGCAGCTTAACAAAGAAAAGACTCTTCCCAGCTCACAGTTGATGATATACAGTTCATCTTGGTGGGAAGGCTTCTTGCGAGAGTAAGGTCCCATTGCATCTGCAGTCAGGAGACAGATGTCAATAACTATTAGTACTAAGCTCATTTTCCCCTTTCATCCAGTCCAGGACCCCATTCCACAGACCAATGCCACCATTGTTAAGAGTGGGTCTTCTTGCTTCAAATACCCCCCCCCCAGATAGGCCCAGATATCTGTATCTCAGAGATTCTAGATCCTGTCACATTGGCAATCAATATTAACCATCATAGTAGGCAAGTGGTTGCATATGAATACAGGGTAGCAAACCGTGACGAGGTATGCTTTAGGTACATGAGACCTATGAATATTAGATCCCATCCATTCTGTGTATCCCTAATCAGCAAAGACCTCACTCAGCACTGCCATACCTACCCTGCTGTACACCTCTCTGTAGAATCTCGTCCTGGTTACTACCTAATCCTAGTGGGGAAAGGAGGAGAAACTCAGACCTGAATACTGGGGTCTTAGCAGCCATGTGCCAAGCTGAACTTCCGTTATTAAGAACATAAGGAATCCTGCCATTAAAACACACCTCCACCTTGCCGTGAGCAGAGCCATGCATGTTGACATTGGTAGGAGCCACTGTGCTTTCTAATGTAAATCATCTACCTCTCATCTGTCTAGAGAACGGATTTCTTTTTAATCCCTTTGATATTTGTGATGTGAAAATAATGTTTGAAACAAACATTTCCCCACCAAAGCTCACTGACCACAGATTCCAAACTGTTACCTTCCACTTTCTTATGTACATAAGAACCATAGACTGTGGAAAGACAAACTCGCGTGGGGATGTTCAGACAAATATGTCACACAACCGTAATAACAGAGTGGGCTAGAAAAATCACAGCATGTTTATTCCCTGGTAGGTTTCATAAAGAGAATACAAAGATTTTCTTCCGGGCCGCTGGTGCAGTTGTCTCAGAATGGCTTGAACAAAACACTTTGTGGAAGTAGCCACCACATTAGAGAGCCCTAATGCTATTTACCAGCTTTAAAAATATGTTCTACTGAAGCCAACAGCATACTTATATACAGAGATACATTATGTATAAGTTATACATAGTTCCAAAAGAGACAAAAATGTGATATTGATATGTTAATACTAAATCTCATTATAATTTAAGATTAAGGTAAAGCTGATAAAGCTTTCCCTGTAATTTCTTGGGGACAAATTCTTCCTATAAAATGGGATATGGGATATGGGACCAAAATGATGTAGAGAGGCATCCACACCAAAATTGGAATGTTAAATAATAATCTGACCCAACCACCTCTTTATGACAAAAAATAACTTATTCCCTTTATTGTGTAATTGCTTATTCATATTTATTTGTTTTTCTGCTTATACTTTTTTATGGTACTGAGAATGGAACCCAGGACCTGAACCCAGGGATAGAATATTCAGGGCAGGGTTGTGCTATGGAGCTTCACCCCCAGTCCTCTTCATACTTTTCCTCTTGAGACAAGATCTCACTGCATTGCCCAGGCTAGCCCTGCACATAGGCTGTAGCTCAGGAAGGCCTTGAACTTTCAATTTTCCTGTCTCAGCCTCCCAAGTAAATATTACTAGAGGTCTGAGCCACCAGGCCCACCAAGTGTCTTCTTTCAGATCAAACTGCTAACACTATCAATGTTCCATGCCTCAGCCAAGGCTACAGAGCCACCGGGACTCCTCCCTTCCAGGGCTCCTTTCTCTCTCCAAAAGAACCCTTCAAGATGATGCCACAGCTTCACATGTAATCAGAAGACATTCAAAGTGCAAGATAATTTACTCTGAAATCTCACTCCAGCATCCACAGAGTTTATTAAGACAAATCAAATTTGTGTAATGAAAACACACAGCAAATGCTGTATTTAGCTCCTTGGCCTCGGTTTTAGTGAGTGACTCACAACTCCTAGATGGAGGAAACACACAATGTAAACATCAATAAAAACAAATCAGTGCGTTGAGTAAGTGAAACGCATCCAGCTCCGTGCAGACTGCTCATTACACTCATGACTGGATTTCAAAGGAGAGAATTGGAACGCAGACAAGCAAAGGAGAACGAGAGGGGTTGGCATGCCAGCAGCTTAGGGATGCATGTCCCTGCAGGTCTGAATGCTCATTCGGGTGCCCACGGTGCTCTTTGAACCTCTGAGGCAAGATCAATGACTTCTTTGCAAGTGTCCCCAACCATAAATGGCTCCAATGGAATATCCGGGGACAGCCTGGCTCTGTGACAATGCTTAGCTATAGGATTTAGGACGAAAGGAAATGAGGCTAGCCCATCACAATTGATCAGTATGGGACACATCTAATATCCTCAGCTTCCAGGTGCAGGAAGACCTCCGTAGGCTCACCCACTGGATCAGAAGACCTTTCTAGGTGGCCACGGTGTTAAAGTCTATCCCAAGAAGATGGTGGTACGTGGCCAGGCAAAAAAAAGGACCAGCAGCTGCTGACTGGTTCTGTCTGTCAGGGATAAAGCAAAAATTCCCCAGTTTTCTCCCCCTTAGTATGCTCATAGCACCCGAATCTAAGATGCTGCAGACAAGCATTGGGTACAGGCGCATCACGCAACTTCTCTTTGGGTGTGATGAGGCACGTGGCCGGAGGAACTACAATGAATGACCAGAGTTCCGAATCAGCTGCAAAACGTTCTGTAGGACAGTCTCTCTCGAGGGACTGGCATCGACCATGTGGCAGCTTGGGTTCTCCATACGCTGGTAGGTCACTTCCACCCTGGAGACAGAGAGAAGGGGAAAAGTCAGCTTCCTCTCCTACCAAGTTCATCCTGCAAAAGCCACTTCCTTGACTTGTCACTGTGGCTTGGGGCAAACCCCAGTCTCCTTCACCCTTGTGACCATCACTGCCCCTAAACAGATCTGGTGGCATTTATTCAGTGACAGATTAGTAAGCTGTGGTGTGTCATAACTGGCAACCTACTACCTGCCAATCATGTATCCTGGTCCTTTCTTCTCGGTGTATACTCAGAGTTAACTGGGAAGGACCCGCTTCGTTCCCATGACAGAGAAGGCAGCTGAGGCCCACTTCACATCCCCAAAGATCATCCTAGAGTTAGAGACCCATGCATAGATGCCATGAGTCCCTGAAGAGACTTTGAACTTTGAATCATTGTTGAGACTGTGATAGACTATGGGGACTTCTGAAGTTGGACTGAAAGCATTTTTTTTTTTTTGCATTGTGATATGGCTACAAGCCTATGGGGTTCAGGGATGGGAATGTAGTGGTTTGAATAAGAATGGTCCCTTAGGTTCATAGATGTGAATGCTTAGTCACCAGGGAGTGGCACTACTTAGAAGGATTAGGAGGTGTGGTCTTGTTGGAGGAAGAGTCTCCCTGAGGGCAGGCTTTGTGGTGTCAGAATCCCAATAGGCCCAATGTCTCTCTCTCCCTGCTGCCTAGGAATCCAGAATATAGAACTCTTGGCATCTTCTCTGGCACCATCTCTGCCTGTGTGCTGCCATGTTCCCTGATGTGATGATGAACCTCTGAAACTGCAGGCCAGACCCAAAGAAATGCTTTCCTTTATAAGAGTTACCATAAAGAAATGCTTTCCTTTATAAGAGTTACCGTGGTCATGGTGTCTCTTCACAGCAATAGAACCCTGACTGAGACAGATGCTGAAGGTCAAACCCAGGTCCTCTTGCTTATACAGAGTATGTCCCCAATCCTGAAACTTTGAGTTTTAATCAAAGTCCTGCCATTTCTAACATAGAAACCCCATTGTTTTCAAGTGGCCATACTGAAGTCAGATGGTAACAAGCATGGTGACAGAGACTGGGGTGGCTTAGGGACATTGCCCCTTGACGCACAGGGACTGTGTCCTTCACTCTGTATCCTAAAGTGGTTGTGATCCTGGCTCAGGGACTCTAGGGGCTGCCACGGCTCCCATCACTCTGGAGGCACTTACTTCTGACGGAACACATTATTGGCCTCAAGCTCAGCCTCCTCTTTAGTTTTCTCCAGGCCCCGGCCCTCCAGTCTCTTCACTCTCTCCTCAGGATTCACCGTGAGCAGCAGGACCAGGTCAGGCTTCAGCAGGTCTTCTGGCCACTGGTACACAGGGTGGTGGGCAGGGGGCAGGTACTGTGGACCTCCACTCACCTCAGTGGCTATGGCATAGGTGGCCGTGCTATGCCAGTACCTGGGGAACAAGGCAGTGGTGAGCTCTCATCTTTGGAAGAAGTCAAGATACCATTTGAGAAGAATCAAATGGGGTTGGCTCTGCTAAATTCTTCCCAGCACCACACACATGAGATATGTTTGAAATGTATGTATGTGTGTGTGTGTGTGTATATATATATATATATATATATATATATATATATTCACAAAAATCAGAGTCAACAACAATAGTAACATGTAGGTTAGTCATGAAATCATATATCTAATTAAAACTATCACATACCATAAGAACAGGTGTCAAACCTTTCTGGCTCTTCAGTACACTAACTTCTAGGTAGCCACGAGGTAGGGATGGCAGGTTAGCTCAATAGTGCCTTTGTATTTAACACTATGTCCCAAGCTAGTCAAGTCTGCCTGGCCTGGGCCATTTCTCCCAGTGCCAAACTCAAACTGCCCATGAAATCCATGTTCATGGAAAGGAGGCAGGACCACCACCCCTCCTCCCTTCACAGAGATCTAGCTGTCTAACTGTGTGGTGGTAATTACACCGTGAGGGCACCAAGCTAGGCAGCTGTAGAAAAGACAGTCGTGGCCATATAGAGAAAAGAACCTAGCATAGTTTCTGGAAATCCAACAGCTGTCCACCACCCACATGAAAGGATTCTGTCTCCTTGTGAGACATGGAACTTTCTCCCAGCATGGACCACATACCATGCCATGCTGCTTGGACACACACTGCACCTCCGGGCAATGATGATACCCTCAACTAGCGAAGTCCCTGCTCTGCCTTCACAGTCCTGCTCCCATGAGGGCCCCACATGGAAGCCATGCTCCTCCTCTGGCTCCTCATATGTTGGAGGAGATTCTACTGAGGAACTTCTTACTAGGGACCACGGCTACTGTCTCAGGTGTGAAATCCTGTCTCCTCCATAGGTGATGTATTCACCAAGTGGGGAAAGCTCCTTAGTCACTTCTGTGTTCTCAAACACAAAAACTACAAAACCAGCACATAGTAGGCATACAATAAGTGTGTGTTTCTTATGTCTATTAATGGATGGAGTTTATTAGCATGAAATGCTCCTAATGGTTGTTGATGCCCACATGCATATGTCAATGGATGATATTTACTAACATACGTGTGCAATGTTACTAGAACAGGGGCTCAACTCTGTGTGTCCCAAAAAATCAAGCCCAGCCACCATCATCAAAACCAATGGTGAAAAGCAGGAAAGGGGTTCCTAACAGTCCTGTAGAGTCCCACCAGGACAGAAGGCACCTGTATTCTTAGCTTTGCCCTTGGGCGTACAGACATCAGCGCTAAGATTAAGTAGGGAATGGGTAAAATTGTTGGGATACAAGATACACACATAGCTAGTCAGTCTTGGTCTAGATGTGACCTGGCTGATCATAAACTCAAGATTAGTCAGGAGGGATGTGGTCCCCATGAAAGAGTTGCTGTTGCCTAGTGGGTAGACTCAACCCTTGTTGGAAGATGGTCACCCATGATACAGACAATATTCTGGAATCAAAGGTGACCATTGGAGAGAATGACTCAGAGCAAAGGAGACCAAGATCCCATGCATTTCCTTTTTATTGTCTTTATCCCTCTCTCCCTCTCTCCCTCCCTCTCTCTCTCTCTCTCTCTCTCTCTCTCTCTCTCTCTCTCTCTCTCCTCTTTCCTTTCTTCCTTCCTTCCTTCCTTCCTCTCCCCCCTCCCTCTCTCTAAGTTGCCAATCAGGCATTGATGGGCATTTGGGGCCTCTGTCGACCCAAATGCAAAGCATTGTTAGTAAAGGCTCCCTTCCCAACCTTGCAATCAGATTCTTGTCCTGTTCAGGCAACATTCTATTATAAAGTGAACAAATGTAAAACACCATATTCAACATCAAGGAAGAATCACCTACAGCAAGTACTTATCATATAAACTGAAGTTCCCAGGAAAAAGAAGACTGTTTCAATGTTTAACGATTCTCCAAGGCTGGCAGACCACTTAGGCTGTGTGACCATAGCTACCCCTCCATCCTTTCATTTTCAATAGTTTTTGGAACTTTTTACTAGAGGGCAAAGGACACAGTAGGGACCACATGATAGGCCCCTACATTAGCCCAGAGGTTGCCATTGATTATGATAATGAGAGGAATGATATCTGGTAGTTATGATTCATGTTAGTTGATGATCCATGTTCCTTATTAGTTAACTACAGAGACTGATTCCAACCTACCCAAGGCACTATTCAGATATTAGTGTAAAACATCAGAATGTGACATAAGTAGTTAATAATTCAGTATTCCCCTTGTAATCATAATGCATGTTCACAATTGAGCACCTGAATATATATGGAGAGAGAGAGAGAGAGAGAGAGAGAGAGAGAGAGAGAGAATAATGTGCTGCAGAGAAGTCATTACCCACCTGTCTACAATAACAGGGAACCTGGCTGACTCTTTAGCTATTTCAGAAGCCACCAGATAATTTCCCAAAGAGTAAAATGCCCTTCGAATGATGGTTGGTTCGTCATCAAAGATTTTCCTCCACTGGCTGATGCAGGGGGGTGGTGACTGTAGGAGGACGGCCTGGAGAGACTCCGACACTGCCTGGGTCACGGTGCTTTTACCTGCAGACATAAATGAAACAGAACCTTCTGAGCTAAAGCCCTCACTGTCCCTCCCAAAGGTTAGTGCTAACCTACTCACCAAGGAAGAGCAAAGGTCTTTACTCTGCAATTCAACAGAAGTGATTACATAACACCCTGGGTTCTATAAGAAAGCAGACTGCACAGAGCCTTGAGGAGCAAGCCAGCAAGTAGACCCCTCCAGCAGCCTCTGTGTCAGCTCCTGCCTCCAGGTCCTACTTGAGTTCCGGCCCTAACTTTGCTTCATGATGGGATCTGAAAACTGTCAGATGTACAGCATCAGAAATCTAACTAAAAGCCTTCTCCTTTCCCTCTTCCCCTTCAGGGCCCCTCCAGAGCTCTTCTTCCACTTCTGTTCATTCCTCTTCAAGATCCACCTGCTCCACTGCTGCAGTACTTCTCCAAGCTCCTCTCCACCTGCTCCACTTCTCCTGGCTCCTCTCCATCTGCTCCAGCTCCACTCCACTTCTCAGCTACTCCATTTCTCCCAGCTCCTCTCTACCTGCTCCAGCCCCACTCCACTTCTCAGCTACTCCATTTCTCCCAGCTTCTCTCCACCTGCTCCAGCCCCACTCCACTTCTCAGCTACTCCACTTCTCCCGGCTCCTCTCCACCTGCTCCAGCCCCACTGCACTTCTGCTCAACTCCCTTTCAAAGTCCCTGCGCCTATGCCTGATACTCTGTGCCTGGTGTTTGGAGCCAAGAGTGACTTGTCAGAGTTCAAGTCACCCCCGCCACCTTTAGAGTAGATTTAGGTATATTTTTGGACTCCTTTTTGCATAGCCCTGGGTGTCACACTGCCCTGGACCCATCTCAGATGTACCAGCCTTTGCCTGGAGCCCAGGACGACAGTGATAAGCGTAATCTGTTCTAGACAGATATTCTTCGCTGGCCTCACTGAGCTCCAACTGTTTACACTCAAGGCCTTTTTCCTCTATCATGTTTAACGCTTCGAGTGCCAAGACTTCATCACCAACTGTTTGTTTACTCTTCTCTTGGTCTGTTCAGGCAGATCCCAACAGTGCTGTCCACTTTGGTGTGTGCTATGGGCACAGCATGCTCTGAATGCCCCGTTCTACGTAAGAAGGTAATGGAGCCATTCACAGGGGCCTCCTTTGTGGGGCTGGGCCCAGCACTCAGCCGTGGCCATGAAGCTACCCCTTCCTCCTCTCCTTGTTCCTTGTTGTCGCTTTCTGAACTTCATGCGTGTGCATAGGTGTGTTGAGGGTAAAGGTCTGTATCTTCCTTTTGTCCCACAGAGTGTGAATTATCTCTAAATACAAAAACAGCTGACAATAAAAACACACTGGACCAAACAGAAAAAAAAAAGAGAGAGAGAGAAAAGAAAATGATCAAAAAACCACAATGGGCAGCTAATGTTAAAAATTCTAGCAGTGGCTAAAAGCCAACCTCAGCCAGGCCTTGGCACCGTGCCCAGAGCTGCTGAAGCAGGCAGAGCCAGGGCAGTGAGTCACAGCTTGCCCACTGTGCCACCCAGCTGTGACACAAAAGATACTCGTGTGGAAAGTACCTTTGGCATTGTTCAAGATAACAGCCTGGGACCAGGGAAGTGGATCGGCGGCGGCAAAGCACTTACCTAGCCTGTGAGAAATCCCTAGTCACCGGCACCGTGACCCTAGTTTACTCTCTGTGGCTGTGATGGAGCCTGGACCAAAACTCTCATCAGGAAATGAATTTCATCTTACAACTCCCAGGCTACACTCCATGACCGAGGGAAAACAGGTTAGGGATACAGGTAGACAGAAACTAAAGCAGAGATGATGGAGGAAGGATGCTTACTGGCTTAGTCCTCCTGTGTGGCGTAGACTGTTTTCTATACAGCTCAGAACCACCTGCCCTAGGTGGTACCACCAGCAGTGTGTGGGGTCCTCCTATATCAATCATCGATCAAGAAAAAAAAATGGTTCTAACAACTTTCCTACAGGACAATCAGATGGAGGCTTTTTCTCATTTAAAGTCTCCAGTGTACCTATAATCCTGTGTCAAATTAATAAAAAAAAAGATACAACCTCCAAAACAAGGGTACGGCAGCAGTCTGTACCCACCCAAGTGCCACAGGAGAAGCCTAAAGATAATAGCATCCTCCACCTTCAGCCTTTCCCAGGACTTGAAAGTTCTTGTTACAGTGTTGACACATTTTCATACTCTGACCGCCTTGATTTGTCCAGGAAGCTTGTATTGCCTCCTTTCTCCAGGTTGCTTTACCAGGGGCCCCTGAACACGCTGTGGCTCCTGGACATAAGCTGTGCCTCTGTCCAGTCATTGCATCCACCTTCCTTGTTTTCAACATCTGCCCTGCTCTTATTTGTTCCTAGAATGTAGCCTGGGTATCTCCTTGGGTCTCCTCTGACAGGACCTCCATTGACCTCCCTTCTCGTGCCCAATGGTCAGCCTGGCATAGAGACTCACAGACGGTTCTGTATGGCATTTAGTATTACAAGGACTTCCTCCTGCAGCTGGTCGGTCCGTGGCGGTGACAATAACTACGGAGCAGTGCTCACTTACCAGTGGCATCCAGTCCTTCAATGGCGATGACCTGGAACTTTCCTTTCTGAATCTCCCTTGGGCATTGGTCAACCAGGTCAAGCACTGCGCGGGCTTCAGGAATAAAGGATGTGCACTGTACAAGAGGGAAAAATAAATAAAACTGTATAAACAAGGAAGCCCCAGGGCTTCTGCGAACCTGTCGTTATTCTGCCAAAGACAGCGCTGCCCAGTGCTAAAGAGATCTTTTCTCGATTGAACTGGCGCATGGGCTTCTAGAATTTAGAAGCTGAAACACACTCAAAAACAACAACAGCAACAAGGCTGCAAATGTCTGGGTAACACAACCTCAGTCCTACACTGGCTAGCCCACCCTATAGGAAGGACAAGTAGACACATAATTCCAACCACAGGCATAATGAAACTCCAGGCTCTGCTATAGGAACAAGAGGTCCCATGTACATGAACTTATGAACTGCCCTATAGAGGTAACCAGACAAGTGCATCTACCCCCACCAGCCCCCAATACACACACACACACACACACCAGGTATGCACACACAGCCTCCTAATGGCCCAGAAGGCTGAGAAAAGTACTCGCAGCTCATACAGCTTCAAGCTGAGATCCTACCAAGAATCTGTACTTCCTTACTGTTCATCACGACATCCCATGCCCCTAGGACCTTCAGCTGAGGCCCAGTCTCATTCATTGGTGTGCTTACTGTGAGCAAGGCAAGCTCCCAAGAGCTTTGTTAGTATTAGACTGGTCCATCGGTGGGAATGCTTCTGTTATTACCAACAGAACGGTTAAGGAAACGGAGGCAGAGTGTTGGGGAACCAAGTCATAAGAGCCAGGCATGGAATCATCTCACTGGCTGACCACCCTCTAGTCGTGTCCAACAGCTTGCGAAATAAGGTTAGCTACATAGACCAGCAGGCCCTGTCTGCCTGTCCCAGGCACCAACACAACAAATCTAGGCATTTTTTGCTGGAGACTCTGCCAGAAATCTCTTGTTCTCCATTACAGGAACATTTACAGATGATGGGGAAAATAAAAGAAAAAAGGTTCGAACAGTGGAGAGGGTCTGCATATGACCCTCAAATCAGTTAAATGCTTAAGCCCTCTAAATCACGTAGTGATCTTCTGTGCCCCCAAGATCCCAGATCCGGAACCACTGCTCAGCAAATTGTCCCTTTTACTGGCTGGCCTCATTCTCCCCCAATTCCCAGGGGACTCTTTACTCCCTCTGCAGGACTTTGAGAATGTATCCCCAGCAAGCATTGCTCAGCCAGGTGTCGCATGCACTCAGCACTCGGTTGACAGAAACCTACCCAAGAAATACTGAAGATAGAGCCTGCACAGCTTGCTCACACCAGCTGTCTCACGAATGCGAACAAACAAGCCAGTCAGGCAGAAAGCACTTGATTGACCAGCCGGGGGCAGACCAACCAGCTCCACTCAGCCCCAAAAGGAAAGAACTCTTCCTTACCTCCTCCAATACCGCCCTTGCAGCATCTCGGTCTTGGAACACAGCGGAGTTGAGCAGATCTGGCAGCAATGGGTGTAGAAGGGGCTCCTGTGCCGGCAGGACGCATGCGCAGTCCACTTGCACCTGCTTGTCTCCCTGCAGCTCCCACAAGCGCTGCCACAGCAAGCCCTGAGAGTCGGCCTGGAATTCGGCCAGCTGCGGGTGCGCCGCCTCCTGGCAGGAGTTCAGAAGCTGCAGCAAGTCACGCCGAGTGTCTGGGTGGTCGCTTGGGTCGCGCAGCAGGAAGCCATGCTGGGCTTCACCTTTCTGGTCGCCGGGACTGTAGCCCAGCAGCTTGCTCAGCTGGCACCGCTGCAAAGGACCGCGGCGCAACTGCAGCAGCAGACGCTGGTGCATCCGGGCCGCCTGCACCCGGGGACCGCAGCCTGTGCCCGGGACCAGAGGCACGCACAACGCGTAACTGCGCCCCGGGGGCCCTAACAGTGCTGCCAAGCGTGAGTCCGGGTGACCTGCCGTGTCCCCTAGGACGAAATGAGTCAGGGAGCAATCCGGCATTTCTACAGCGAACCGCCGCTGCCGAACCATGTTCCCAGTGCAGGCCCGGTGCCGCGCGCACAGCCGCCGCGACAGTCGCCCGAGCCACAGTGGGGCTCGAGGGCGGCTCACTAAGGCCATAGGTGTCCCGGGCCGCGCCCTCCGCCACGCCTCGGAAACGAAACTGCGGGTGACCACAAGCCCTGGATCCGTGAGAAACGAAAGCGGTGAGAAACGAAAGCGAAGACGGCTGCCGGCAGGACCTCGGGTGTGGCCGCGCTTTTCCCGCCTGGGCTTCTCCGCCTCCCACCACAACCGCGCACTTAACCGCCTGCGGGCAGTTAGGAAATAAATTCTCCTGGCCCTGAGGCTCCGCTGCGTTGCTAGCGCCACTGTGGTCCCCTGGCAACGCCTGCCCGTGAGAATTCCAGCCTCTCCCGAGGCCTCAGCTTGGTCTGGTTTGGTTTTGTGGTGGCAGGTGCTTCCAGGCGGAGTTTTAAACTTCTCCCAGGCTACTCATTCCTGACAGGTGAGGACTGGGAGAGATGGAAACTGAGGCACAAAGGGATCTCTTCCCAGAAAGCACACGCACACAGCTTCATGACCCACCTGTGCACAGGCACCTGATTCCGGGGACCTTCAAGAGGCTAGCGGTATCCTGACCTCAGTTTACCACGTGATAGCCAGTCCTACAACCAGTTTGGGCAGTTCTCCAGCTTCCCAAATGAAGGACTCCTCCAGGGTGCTCCTTACTCACAAGGAGCCACTTACAAACTGTTTATGCGGCCAGGCTGCCACATTGAATAACTGCCAATTAGACACCTGCATTAGTGTCTAATGTTTTGAAATGTCTCTCTCCCTCCACTCCCGTGTGTGTGTGTGTGTGTGTGTGTGTGTGTGTGTGTGTGTGTGTGTGTGTGTGT